CGGGCGCGGCCCCGCCGCCCCCGCCCCGCGGGCAGAGCGCGGTGTCGGGCGCCGAGGCGCGCAGGCGCAGTGCCGGCCAAGGTGGAGCGGAGCGGAGCTGAGCGGAGCGGCACGGCCGGGCCCGGTTCCCGGAAGGGGGCGGCTGCTTCCGTCTGAGGCGCGCGCGGGGCCGGGCCAGGCGGGGGCGGGTAACGGGCGGGCCGTTCCGGTGTGGAGTCGTGTCCCGCTTGTCCCGCTGCACTGTAACTCCGAGCCTCAAACGGCAGCTGCTTTCCTTTCCTGCATCTCTTCCTTTGTTTCAGCCGAAACTCTTTAGGGAGATAGGGACAAAACATTGTAGCTCGATGTCTGTCCCTCCTTCTTCCCAGCTAATCCCCCATCTGGAGAGTAGAGGAGGCGTGTCCCGCCATGGTAAGGAGATAAATTCCCGACATCTGTCGTTAGGTTTTTAAACACAATTATTTTTAGTGGAGCTTTCTCCACAGGACACAAGTGTAAGCTTGAGAAAGCATTTAATATACTGAGTTTAAGGAAAACGATCACTGGCAGAAGGGAACATGAAGCTGTGAATCTCTTAAGAGTTTTGATTTTGTTTTTGGTTTGTTTTATTATTTTTTTTTTATATTAATGGACCACTCCATGCATGGAGGATTTTATAGATGCCAAACAGAACAAGGAGAGAGGAGAATTTCCATGTTAATTACAATCGTTCAAATAATAATTACAAGAGTGCCTTAATAACTGTATCTTTTACTGCTAAATTGTGGACATCAAGAGGAGCTTTGTGCAAACACAACATCATTTAAACTCATGATGTAAGTGATGTAATGAAACCTAAGCATAATATGCTATATCAAAACTGACTGCTCAGGGTGTGTCTTTGTTTTTTACACTATAACCGTTTTGAAGCATCGCCTCCTCCACATAATTGTTTGGCTGAAGGTAGTTTCCAAGTCTGGAAATTCCAGATTTTATCACCTCAGTTGAAAATTTTGACCTTGGTGTTCACCTCATGGAACCATTGCACTTGCAAAGCAGGTGCACTTTAAAATTTTTATAGTTCTCTGTGGTCTGTTTTCTGAATTTTTTGACATCTTCACATTTTGATATAATTTAGCCAGTGTTTAGTCCATATTCTTCTAAAATTTCATTTTGTTGGTCTCACATGTCAGTATGAGCTAATTTTTGCAAATTCCTGAGAGTTTGAGCAACTGATAGCAATCCAGATGCAATTAATTCTGATTAAAATATCAAAATACATCCATTTACAGAAATACTGGATTCTGTTAAATGGAAAGGGCAGAGATGGGGGCGCGCGGGGGAAAAAGGAGGAGAGGAAAGGAACTAGTAACATTGAGTCAACCAAATGTCCAAAATAGAACATTTTTGATATTTCATGAAAGGGAAAAATTTTAATGATATCTGTGATTAGACTTTTCATGAGACCACGAAAAGGTTGGAAGAGTCTTTGTGTGATCCTGTACAAATATTGATTCAGGGGTCCTCAAGAAATCCTGGCTCAACTTCTGCAGCCCTTTGAGTATCTCTGTGCTGTATTACTTTTTAATACTTATTACAGAATGCTTCTGTTGCAAAAGAGTGGGTAAGTCTTAGTTAAAGTCTCATTAATACTGGTGTCTGCAGCCATTCAGTATTTCCTTATTCCTTAAATACTAGAGCTAGTCCAAAATAACCTTTGCCCTGTAAGACACAGTGCACTTACCCAGATGTTGGTAGCAGCTGTTTCACTCTCTGGAAATGCTCCTTTGCATAGAATGGTTTGGGTTGGAAGAGACCCTAAAGATCATCTAATTCCAACCCCCTGTCAAGGGCAAGATGACACCCACTAGACCACATTGCTCAGAGCCCCATCTAGGCTGGCCTTTAACACTTCCAGGGATGGGGCATCCACAGTATCTCTAGGCAACCTGTTCCAGTGCCTCACCACCCTCAAAATAAAGAATTTCTTCTTAAGATCTAATCTAAATCTAATTTTTTAGTTTATAACCATTTCTCCCTATCACTAATATGCTCATACAAGACATTGCTTTTTTTACCCTTTAGATACTGGAAAGGCCTCAATGAGCTCTTGCCAGAACCTTCTCTTCTCCAGCCTGAACAACCTGAGTTCTCTCAGCCTTTGTAGGAGAGATGCTTCAGTCCTCTGACCATTTTTGTGGGCTCTTCTGGACTCTCTCTAACAGGTCCACATCTTTCTTATGCTAAGGACTTCATACCTGGACACAGCGCTCCACTTTGTGTCCCATGAAGGCAGAGTAAAAGGGGGACAATCACCTACCTTGATTTGGTGGCCACCCCTCTTTTAATACAGCCCAGGATACCATTTGCCTTCTGGGCTGGAAGTGACCTCTCTCAGTCCTTCTCAGCTTGGTTGCTTTCTACAAGTTCTTCTCCCAGTCTGGACTGACGTCTGGCATTGCCCTGACCCAGGTGCAGCACTTTCCACCTGGATTTGTTGTACTTGAGGTTCCTGTGGACTCACTTCTCAAGTTTCTCCACCTGGATATGATCTTGTTTTTCTGTTGTGCCAACTGCACCACTCAGCTTCATGGGTCTGCAGACTTGTTGGGGTGCACTCAATCCCACTGACAGTGTCATTGATAAAGATATTAAAGATCCCTGTACCAAGATGCACCCCTGAGGGACACAACTCATCACCAGCATTCACCTGGACTTAAGAGCACTTTCCACAACTCTGTATCCATCCAGCCAATTCCTTATCCACTGAATATTCCATCCATCAAATCCATGTCTTCAGTTTGGAGATACGGATGTCATGTGGGACCAGCTTACGGAAGTCTAGGTAATTTACATCTGTCAGTCTTTGTTTTTCAACTGTTGCTGTTGCTCATGGAAGGCCACCAGATTGGTCAGGCATGATTTGCCCTCAGTGAAGCGATATCAGCTGTCTTGGATCATCTTGTATTGTATGTGCTTAACATTGTTCCATGAGTATCTGCTCCGCAGTCTTCCCAGGAAGGGGAAGGTCTCTGGTATGTCCTTCCCTGGGTTGTCCTTTCTCCCCTTTTTAAAAATAGGAATGATGTTTCTCTTTTTCCAGTCACCGAGTACTTCACCTGACTGCCAGGGTTTTCCAAATATGGCTTGGCAACAACATCAATCGCTTCACTCAGGACCCTGGGATGCATCTCATCAGACCCCACAGACTTGTGGCTATTCAGTTTCCTCAGGTGGTCTGGAACCTGCTCTTCACTTTACAGTGAAAAAAACCCCAGTTTATAGTATACCTTTCATTTTTTGCTTGGCTCTGTCCCCTGGCACCTTACCTAAACCAAGTGGAAAAAATGAACTCTTTAATACAAAACTAAAAGAAGTATTTCCATGAAAATAATTAATAGAATTAATTAAGAATTAATTTAGAATTAATAATTCCTATTCAATTGCTAATAAATGACCATTGTGAGAGAATCTCTGGTGCACCTGGAATATTTTACGGCATGACTGGCTCCACCGTGTAAGAGAACAACTGATCAGAGGAGAGTAGGTATTGCAACTACTTCACTCCATTGTCTGTAAAAGAACCTAGGGTTCACAGCCCAAGGCAGCAAGAGGTTTGAATTGCTCTCTCTACCTAAAACCATACAGGTAGTGTAGTAGACATTTGCAATGTGGCTATAAAGGGTGTAGGTAATGAATGTCCTTTGTTAGGTATTAGCATATGTGCTATTACAGCTCTGCACATAAAACTCTTGAAGGGAAAAATTATGAAGAATAATTCAGTAGAGGTGTAATAAATTGTGTCATAGTAGTACTTGCATTATGTACTTTAATACAACTAAGAAAGCAACTGACAAATATTTATTTAAAAAAGCTAAAGATACAGTGGACATGTCAGATAAAACATGTCTGAAATTTTGGGAAAAACACTGATGTGCAACTTCCATTACCACAGAGCAAAAAAGACTTGCTCTCTTTACTTTAGCACATATTTAGTATCACTTAATTTATATTTAAAGTATGCATAATTTAACACTGTAATTTTATCTTAGATTTCTATTGACATGAATAAATGAACCACATTCTTTGGAAAAACATCTTATCATACATAAAATATCCATTCTTCCTTCAAGTGCTTAATAAATCTTCCAGGGTGAGAGAGACTTAATTTTTCAAAGGGACAAAAGAGTAAATGAACAAAACCACTTACTAATTCTCGAGAGCACTCTCCTGTTTCAGCCCAGAATTGATTACCCTGGCATCTGCTGGGTCTGTGGGTGTGTGGGCCTTTGTGTTGTGAAGTATTGCTGAACTGAAATCAGTACATGGACGTAGGATTTCCTGGTATTATGGTTAATTCTTTGCTTTTAGACTAGTGGCACAACTTCATTAAAATTTATTAAACAACACTTTATTACCAGTGTGTAAAGATGCATAAAATGTGTTTGTGAATTAATGGAGTTTCTAAGTAGCAGGCCAGTTGAAAAGAAATCACCCAGCCCAAATCCACATGTATTCTGAGCAGAATCATCCCCCATTAAAAGGAAAGAGCTAGAAGCTTTTATGCACCTTCAGTCTGTACTAGCTGTGAGAAAACACAAGTAACGAGTGAAGAATATACTAAACAATTACTTGACTAATTATTAACCTACTTCTCAAGTTTGTGACTTTGTGTGCTTTTCTGTGCTTTTGTGTAAGGAATAGTCAGATTTTAAGGACATAATACTCTTGAGGTATATAACTGGCATGTCCAAGTGCAGATTTGGGATGTAGCTCCCACTTTACACAACCAAGAGAGATGGCTGCTTTGAGGCAGTGGTGCATCAGCTGCTTGGGGGGTGGTCAGATCTCCCTCTGACTGTACCCGTTTCTCTCTGAAAACTAGCAGGAAAATCTGATATGACAAAGTTTATTTTGGTGCCTGCTGTTAGGCAGTACAACTCCAGGTCTTAAATGACAGACTACTGGATTGGAATTCATATAATCTTAATTCTACTCTGTGTTGGTTTTGGCTGGGCTAGAGTTATTTTTCTTTGCAATAGATAGTGTGGGGCTATGCTTGGGATTTATGCTGGAAACACTGTTGATAACATTGGGATGTTTTAGTCACTGCTGAGCAGTGCGTATACAGCCTCAAGGCCTTTTCTCACACTGTCTCGCCAGGGAGGAGACCGGGAGTACACAAGAAGCTGGGAGGGGATACAGCTAGGACAGCTGACCACAACTGTCCAAAGACGTGCTAGATGACCCATACCTTATTGAGTCATGCTCAGCAATAAAAAGTGGGAGAAGAAGAAGGAAGAGTGGGGACACTTGGAGTGATGGCATTTCTCTTCCCAAGTAACACATGGTGGAGGTCTGCTGTTCTGGAGGTGGCTGAACACCTGCCTGCCCATGGGAAGTGGTGAATTAATTCCTTGTTTTCCTTCACTCGAAGCGCGTGGCTTTTGCTTTCCCTATTAAACTGCCTTTATCACAACCCTAGAGCCTTCTCACCTTCTGGTTCTCCCCGCCCTCCCCCCACCTTACTGCAGGGGAGTGAGTGAGGAGGGTGCAAGATATTTGCCAGCTGGGGTTAAACTACAGCATACCCTTGCAGTGTCGCTAATTTGCTCTGATCTTGGCCAGTCCCTCCATTTTCCATCCCAGCTTTTATCTGCGTTTTACAATTAGAGGTTAAGCTCTGTAGGCACAGTCTTTCTGAAAATTATACAAAATTTTCAGAAAGGCACAGTCTTTCTTTATGTTTTTTTCAGCACATACAGCCTGGGGAATGTTTTTGTGACATGCGCAGATAAATAAATATGCAATGCAATACAGATTCTGAATGCTACAAATCAACACACATAAAGAGGTTGTGGACATTTGTTCCTTACTCAGTGCAAGGACATATATAATCTATCAGCTTCCCAGAAGCTTCACATCATCTATGGCTCAAAACCTGTCACATGTGTATCCCTACACTTGCAAACAAATATATACAACCTAAAAAAACCATAGTGGGATGACTGTAATTAGATTTTGGGTAATAAGATTCTTGTATTTCCTTAGCTCTATTATCTGTCCAAATGACAATATTGTCAGTACTCCATCTGAGATAGTCATGGTTCTTAACACTTAGATCTTTCTTAACAATTTCAAAAGGTTCATCCCCAAATGCATCATCCCTATAGAGAAAGTGAGGTTAAGTGACTTGAATAACAAGGAATTAATGAGTAATGATGAGTTTGCAGTCATTCATCATCAACAGAGCTAGGACAAATTATATCATTCTAGCAGGTGACTAGGAATCTGGAAATCTGAGAGTTGAGGGTTACGGCAAAGTTGGTTCATAATACATAAGAATGGACAAAACATTTTTAAGACCATCATTAAGGAATTACCAAGTGTCTAAAAATATAAAAGCATTAAAATGTATCATTGAATGTGTATTGCATGTATTTATAAGAAGCCTTCGATTAGCTTCAGTTTTAAAACATAAGATATGAAAAGCAGTGTCAAATTGTTTAACCAACATAGAATGATGTAAAATGTGTACTTTATATGGAGTTCCTGTGTGCATGGCAGCACTGTAACATCTTCAATTGGAATTTGTTGGGATTTAGCTCCTTTATGGTATTGCCTTTCCTGAAAAATGAGTCCTTCCCAGATGCTATTTTATTGAAATCAGTATTTGCCACTGAGCGTTGTTTCTTTTTTAAGTCTGCATGTTATATAATCCATATCCTTATATATATTCAATCAGAACCCTTAAGCTGAATAATCTTCTCCAAACTAATATTGGTTTAAAATTGCTTAAAGTAGACCTAAATTCATCTCACTTTTCTGTTATTAAAAAAGCACAAAATTTTGTATAATTTTCAGATTTTAGTGTTGTCCATATAATTATTTAATATTTTCCTTTTTTTGTATTTTCTGCTTTTCATCTCCTTCTTTTTCTATTAATTCTGGTCTTCATACTTTATATGGTTTCATACTTATATCATGTTGCTTTTAATGTCTTTTTCTTGTGATTTTCTAGTCCCTTTCTCCACCTCTTTCTTTCACTGCTAGTTTCCTTCTTCTATGTGCTACAGGATATGCTAGAATAGAGTCAGGTAATTTGCAGTCTGGTTTCTAGTTCTGTGGCCACTGTTTCAGGAGTCACTTCCTCTCCCCATCTTTCTGCATCCCAGTCTGGAAAAACAATAAGCTGGCTTCTGTGTGGTTAGCTTTGAGGCATACTGGTGGAAAGTTCCTTTAAGCAGAATGTTTGTCCCTCTGTATTACACCTCTTTTCTACCTCAGTGATCTCCTCAGTGCTCATCATTATTTTCAGCTGTTCAACTAATTCTTAGCTCCTGCTTCTCCTTCTCTTCTTCTCCATCCCCATCTTCTACCAGTAATATTTTCAATGTAGACCTTCAGCACAGTATGGGTATTACTAATTTTGCCATTTTGTGCAGATTGTGCCAGCTACATTCACTTTCTCTTCAGGGAGAGCTGTGGCAGCTCTCAAATGATTGGTTCCATTGATTTCACGTTGACTGATGTCAGTAAAGAACATGAATGATGGTGCAACACCTGATTTTAGTTATAAAAAATATCACAAAACTCTTAGGAATATAAGAGATATAGAAAAAGCAACAAATGTACAGTTATGAATAGCAATCATGGTGTCCTATGAAACCCTGTAAAGGGCAAATGCACACACGTGAAGGCAGCCCTCACATGTTCTTTCATGAGGTTATTTAAATTGTAGTCACATGGATCTTGGGCCTTTGAGAAAAGATTTAGACAATAACTACTTGGAGATTATAATACTAATGTCAAGCAGAAATCAAATGTTAGCCATATCTTGACTGTGAGAAAAAGATATGCCCTGTCTGTGTCAATGTGTTTCTACATCTATGGTAATTTGCTATGAACCTATTTTTCTGATGTTTGTCTATACAGCCTTTGGCTTTGAAGAATTTTAATCACCTTCAGTGAAAAAGCAGGAAACAGTCAAATCCTGCCAATGTTAAGTGTCTCAGACTATGTGCCAGAAGTGCTATTCAGTAAGTTGTGAAGTAAAATTGGCTCCGTCTATATGGCTGTAGTGAAATGAAATGCAGCCACCAACATTCTGATATTCCTCTCAGGAGCTAAATATTCACAAAATGTAACTGTGGAGAGGATTTGGAGACTGAATGAAAGATGACAAAGCATATTGTAGTTTTTATGGGTTGTAAAGCCATAAACTATAGACTGTACCAGACTAAACAATAGGTCATAAAAGTTAAGCAGCACTTCCATCCTGCCCTAGATGGAAGAGCACCTAAGATAGATAAAGGAATTGTTTCAATGCTCATAATTTTTTGTAAACACTGATTCATGTTCCCGTTACATGTCCATTTTATAGCTGTCACTGCTGATCACTCTAAAATCCGATGGCACTTTGTGAAAGAACACAGTTTTAACTCTGACCTCACAATTACAGCAAAATCTCTTACACATCATGCAGTTCTAACTGGAACCACTGTTTTTCACCGAGTGCCCAAGGCTTCAGCTCTGTATTTATACTTACTGTGGGCTGTCATGTGGCTGCTGTTTTCTCTGGTCAGCAGTTCAGCTGAGGGCTTCTGGAAAGATGCAATTCCAATAAAGTGCTGGATGCAGGCCAGTAAAGATATATTGCTGGGGATTTATTTTGATTTTATGCTTTAAATGAAAAACAATCAAGACTGGACATAGGAATAATAGAAAAAATCAACCTCCAGTGTGCCAAAAGAAACCACAAACAAAAAACCCCACCAGTATTGCACTGATTTTGGAATATCTGGAATATTTTCTGAAATGATGTCACTAAAATGTATAGAGAATAAGCCAAGCTTTCTTATGTTCTATAATAAATCTAGAGTATCTTTGCTGAAAAAAAAATTGAATTCATGCAAGAATATGAATGAGCAATATTTTGATTCTTTCTCAGAAAAATTACCATTCAATTAAATGAAAAAAATCATCAGAAATGTTATAACTATGAAATTACAAAATGCCATTTTCATATGAATCACAATGTGCCCAGGCCATGCATTGTGAATCAGGAATTAGCAAGATGCAGACAACCATGACAAAAATCAACCAAGTAGTAATAATAACTAATTTCTCAAAAGGTGCCTGAAGTAGCATACCCATTTTACCCTTTAAAAGGGAATAAGATAACTTGCAATTATTTGAGAGCAAAAGAGGATTCAGTCTGGGGACAACTTATTAAGTAACTGTGCACATGAAAGATTCTTTCAGCAGCAGTTGAACAGTCAAAGAGAGAGTAATCCAGAGCAGGTGGGCACATAGGATTCATGCGGTAATTCCGATTTTCTAGACTCATGATAACGCGTGTCCAGTTGTTGTTGTTTTTTTTTTATTCCACAAACTGACCCAGTTAGACATTTGTGTATTTAATATGCCTGAGAAGCTATAATTAGACAATTTTTAATTATTCATCACTCTTAACTCTTCTCTCGAGTGCAGTAATTCAATATGACAGTTCTGAATAAGCAGCTTGTTGTGAGGAATTTTCTGACAATGCTGAAGGTTCTGTTTCTCATATGTGATTTTTTTCCAGTCCTGCAATTTTATGTGAAGACTAATAACTGTCTTAGAATATTTGTTTCGTTATGAAAATCTGGCACTATTTCTATCCTAGAAAAATGATACAAATTCATTTACCTAAATACATACATTTGAGCACAGTGGAAAAGGGGTTTTTGTTTAAAAGTTAAAGTGTATTTTAGGCTTATCAGCCATACTGTACTGTGACTAATTAAACTTGAAGTCCTCTGTTTATTTGCAGAACAGCTATTATGCGGATCAGGTAAGCTGTGGCATGTTTCCTTCTGTCCTTCTGTTATTTTGGAAGTGTTCTCTTCAAGATAGTCAGCAAAAAATTTACTTTTCTGCTTATTCAGGATGTGATCAAACACTGGAGTTAGTATCAAGATCACAGAGACTCCAAAGAGCTCTGGATAAACATTTATGAAAAATATGAAAAGTACCACAAAAATATTAAGCCATACCAAGCTGTGGTATGTCATATTTGCACATACCCGTTCCTGTGATCTGGACTGAGGCAACCTACTTTATATGGGCCATAGTACATGTTCTTGCTCAGCAGAAAACATTTCAATAGATTGTTCAAACAAACCTAAGCTAAAATGACTCCCTAGAAATGCTGAAAACATGTTATTAAATTCATGCACCAATTAACAGGTAAAGCTTATGATTATACCTGTGATTATAGCTATGATTATACCTGTGTTCACTGCTAATGCCACGTTAAAAAGTAAATTAGTATTTAATACCATACACCAAACTAATAATTTTACAGAAGAGTGATTTATCATGAGTGTGGAATTACATCATCAATTTACTTCATTACATTTCGCCTCCTTTTTAAAAGCTGAGGTGCAAATATATTTAACTCACTCAGCTGCACTGACTTTCTCTAATTAGTATGCTTGACACCTGTCTGGAGAAAAATACTACTTTTTGACATATACTTCTCCTGGGATTCCTAGGCCCATGCTTAGTTTTTTTCTGTAATCTTAGTGAGGCCAATGAACTATTTAGTTTCTACTCAAGTTCCTAGATACAATTCAAAAATACTCTATTTTATGTAGTATGAGACTATTTCAAGCACTGCAGCATGACAGATAATAGCTAGAAGCAGGTTTGCTCTAAGGTATCCTCAAACAGAGCCACCCAGGGGTTACGTAGGAGACATGCTCTTCTTGCTGTAGACCTTGACATTCCCAAGTAACTATATTTTGAGCTAGTGCCTGTACAAAGGTCCAGGATTAACCCTTGAACCTCACACCACCATTGTGCACTGATTCCTATGTACAAGCAGACTGCAACCTGAGATGGCCACAAAATACACAAATTTTTGTGCAAATACAATGCAAACATTAGCTGTACTAGTTTTTAAACTTCCTCCACTAAAAAGCAAGATGATCAACCCCCTTTTGTAGTGCTTTCCTGTTTTGCTGAGTGATTGTTACTATCATACCTCCCCCTGCCTTTGTCCCCCAGTTAAATTCAATCTCTGAGAATACTACACCTTCTGAAAAGATGGGCATAGACATTATGCTTTAGATGTGGAAGAACATGGCTAACAGGGTACCTCTTGTAAATAGTAGCAGAGGTAATATTGCTGTGCTTATCAAGCCCCAAATTCAAACACAAACCCATGGGGACCAGTTTTTTAAAGGAGCAAGAGTTTTGCCTTGCACAGCACCTATGGATGCTGTGTTGCAGCTGCTACAAATAGGAACCTTGCAGTGTTGGTTTCTTGCAATGTGAATGGAGATACAGGGTGGGTTGCAGCCCTTCTATCAGGATGAAGGCATGGGCAAGTGGGGGCATGTTCCCAGCAAGTGTGCTTGCAAGAGCTGGTTGGGGTCCACTACTTTCTCTTCCTGCAGCTGGCTGAAGTGGCCTGATTTATAGGGAACTGTGCTTGCTGTTCTGTCATCCTCCCTGCAGGAGGAAGAACCTGCCAGTCCCTTCTCACTATCCCTCCTTGCTGTATGCAAAAGGACATCCTTCTCCTAGTCCATCTCTCCTTCCCTATGTAGTGCTTCTGGCTCAAAGGGGCCAGATCTCCGCAGCTGTTGTGCCCACTAAGTCAAAGAAGCCCTTTGTAATATTTCTGGTTCTGGGGCAGAGCAAAGTGGGTGGCATGTTGCACGACTTAATTTCTTCTTATTAATAACTTTGGATTCTTCCTACCTGTCTCAGATTGATGTATAAGGAAATTCACTCCTGTTTTTCTCCTGATGGAGGTAATGGTTATGGAAGTATCACATCTCAGCAAACTTTCTTTGTACATCTGGATTCTGTGTAAGGCCAGAAAGAGTATTTATAGGGAGACAGATGATGGACTGAATATTTTCCTTCTCCCAGCCCTATTCTCATTCCTTGCCATCCCCAAAAACAAACAAACAAAAAATTGAACCCCTTCATTGAGATTATCCTCTGCAAAAGCACAGGATAATTTGTGTTGGAAGGGACCCTTAAAGACCATCTACTCCAACCTTCCTGCAATAAGCAGGGACATCAACTAGATCCGGTTGTTCAGAGCCCTGTCCAACCTGACCTTGAATGTTTGCAGGGAGGGGGCATGCACAACTTCTTTGAGCCATTTGTTCCAATGTCTTAACACCCTCATAATAAAAAGTTATCTCTAACTTTTTATCTCTAATTAAATAATTATCTCTAACTTTTTATCTCTAATTAAAGTGAGCTTTAATGAGCTCTAGGTGGGTGTATCTGGATATCTCATGTCTGTGGCAAAGCCTTGGTATTTATAAAGAATACACATAAGAAATTGTGCACAAGTAAAGAAAGTCTAATTGTTTAACAAACTGAAGATTTGGCTGCACATCTGTATTTAATATTGAGAACACTTGCCCATACAAATCTCCCTGTGCTCTTTTTCTGTCAAGTCTTACAAAAATTCGATGTTTGTATGTGCAAAATTCAAGTAAAACATTTTTTTGTTCCTTCTTTGAAGCATAACATCTATGAACTTAGCAAGGTTTTACATTTGTCCTCCTCCAGCATTTCTGGTTGCCATTATATTTAGAACATTTTGACATGTTTTTCAGGTGTTGTGACAGCTATTTCTACAAATGCTTTAATGGAACAGTTGCGTTTAAAATACCAACACAGGCCATGGACTGAAACTCTGAAACTTGTTTATTTTTGCATGGTAAGAATCACAGGTTAGGTGAGAGAAGGATATGTGGTATAAGAATATGTTTCCAAGGTAGTTAAAAAATTACCTGACTTTCAAAAACAAGCAAAACCAACCAACCAAAAAACTCCATGCAATTGAAAACCAACCAAAAGATAATCCCCAGAAAAACCTGGTGCCTAGTATAGCCTGGCTCCCCATTTTTCTTAGGACAATGGGTTATAAAGTTTCCTGCCTAATTTTAACACGCTAGGGGTTGTTTTTTGCATTGTTTTATCTTGTTTTAACATTGTTTTAACTATTCAGGAGTTAGTACTGATTGTCTACCAGTTGAGGCTACATTCATTATCATTACCATATTGATAGTATGTAAAGACAATTTATTGCCTACAGGACTGGGGTTTCTAAAATACAGAATTTTAGAAACTGGTCTGAAATCTGCTATCTAGACTTTCTGCTGCTGTGATATACCATTCCATGCTTCCTGCCCTTCCAGTAGCTAATTTAAGAATGATCATCATAAAGAGCAGATCAGCACAACTGGTGTGAACTCAGTATAAACATCCTATTTGTTTCCATACTTATTTTTATTAATGCTTAACTCAAGCCTTATTCTGAAAACAATGTCCTGAATTTGAACAAAGTGAAAACTCTTCAGCAGTGAGTGTTCTTTGTTAATTGAAGTGTGGAGTATGAGAAGTTTTCAGGCAAGATCTTGAAGAGAACCTGGGAGAGTTTGCTTGCTACTGAAGTGAATAGCTTTACAAGCTGAAACTTGTATTCTAATCTAACCAAGTACTCCTGTGGCACTTACCAATCTATTTACTCAGGCAGATTTTTTCTAAAATAAAAACACAAGTATTTTCTTAGTTTATCCCTAGCTTCACAATGAAATTAGCTGACACATCTAGTGATCAGCTCAAAAGATAGGGGAATGGAAAGCCACTCCTTGCTCCAAAGACATCTGGTATGTAATTACTGCACAATAATATCTTGACAAATCCATCCAGTGCTGCCATTTCAGAGATAGCTCCAATCATAGGTAACCTCTGTGTTTGACAAAAACAAATAACCAGAGGTTTGCTGTATGGAGCATCTGTATGCTGTGTCTCTTAGCTAGTAATTTAAGGAATCTTTCTTTGTCTCTTGTTTTCACAAATGTGCTAGGATAACCCACTTCGAAAGCCTGTCAGTAATGCTCCAGATGGTCTATTGCTTTCATGCATGGAGAAGATAGAGAGGACATTAAATGGTAATGAGCTGTTGGATAACTCAAACTACATTTTTTTTAATATTGTGTGGAATCTACCAATCCTTCTCTACTGATGTTCTTCACAAAGAGGTCAAATGAGCAAACACAGAGGTGGATAAGAAACAAGAGACTTGTGACTTGTCTTTGGGATAAGCCTTCAGGCTATAACTATTCTTAAAGCCTGAGAATATTTTCTACGCAGCACAGCACTTATTAATCATAATAGTTATCATTAATAATAAGTCATTCAAGAGTTACTGTTTTCTTATTACCTAAACCATATCCTCTAAAGCAAGAAAATACTGGTTCTACTTCTTGACCATTGCAGTTTTTGTCTGGTTTTTGCAGCTAAATCCATGTTTTCTGTGATGAACGCGTTGGAACTTTTATCCAGACAAAAAGGGTAAGTTTGTTTAGGAATAAATGCAAATGAGCAAGTATGGGCTCAAGTCCAGAGAGGAATACCATCTGGATGGCTTGTCAACAATGTTATTTTTTAGCTCAGTGTTCTAATTCATTGTATTTGCCTATTTTGATTGGCCCTTTGTGGAGAAGGTTTCTGGAAAAGAGAGGGTATAAATGCCTATATCCCAAAGCTACAGATGGAGGTTAATAGGTTTGAGCTGACTAACATGATAATGTAAAGAGCAGAGCACAAATACATGCCTACTTGGATAGTTTTCAGAAGCTGAGCCAAGGAAAAGTTATATTTGAAGCATCTCTGGTGTCTCTTCCCATGACCAAGTGAACTACACTAATTTCCTTTTTTAAGTGACAGAATTTTTATGTATACAAATTTTTTTTTTCTTTTTCTCAGACTTACTGTTCATGTTAGCCCAAGTGGGACCACCTGCTACATAACATCAATGATGTTTTATGTAGAAATTCAGCTGGAGAAGGATGGAGATGTGATGGATGTAAAGTTGGCTCACTTTGAAGAAGCTCCTGTGGTAAAATTAATTTTCTCTGTCTCTCATGACCCTGTACTCTCCCACCTGGCTTCCAGCTGTCATGTCAGAAAGGTTTTGACTTCCTTTTGGTCTTGTCATACATGCAATCCTATTCATGACACTGGCTACCTCTTTAGGCATCTGAATCTCTCACCTAAATGTACAACTCAATTATAGATACTAAATACTCTAGTGCTAAATATTACAGTAAAAGTCAGCTGACAGACTCACCTTCCAAGAATTTTTGGTATCACACATAAATATTTTTATTTTCATGCTTCAATGTTGCCAGTATACAGTAAATAACAGGGGCTCTAAAATATTTTCCTTCCAAGGTTTAGTGCAATATATATACTCAGTGGATGTGTTGAAGCTATTCTGTTTTTTATTCTGCCTTCTTTAGGAGTATTTGTATTTCTACTAGTAGGGATGTTTTTCTGTCAAAATTTCTATTACATTATTCACAGAATATCACCCTGAAGTTCACATATCATGTTCTGCAGTTGTTACAGAATTACAGAGAACCCTTCAGGTCAAAGATATAACAACAAGATGTTGTGGGGGGGTGGGGAACATAAACTCTGGATTTTGTCACTAAGTATCCAGATTATTACATTATTACTGTTATTACACTGGAGTTAATTTGTCCATAATTTTTAGTTGAAGTCAGCCCTGGAATTTCAAATTGTTCATTTAGCAGGTCTGTTGATCAGTGAGTGCTGGACAATATCACTAGAATGAAAATGCATATTCAGAGCATTTTAGCACAATCAATAAAGGAAAAACTGGCCAAGGTGCAATTTTCTTCCTGAAAGAGTATGAGCAAACTATTTCTGTTAATTTTATCCTCTTTCACAGAGCCTTTGTTCTTCCAATTATTATAGTAGTATTTTTTTAGCTATTGCACTGTTATCTTGGTTTTGAGTGTTGGGGAAGTTTTTTTTATGCTAACTGTACAGCTACTTAAAAGTAATGGGGATCAAGCTTATCATTACTAATGAAGTGCTTATAGAAGATTTATTGCAAATGGCAAGAAAGATGAAACTCCTGTCTCTTATTCCTGTAGGTTTGTGATGATTTGGTCCAGCTTCTAAGGTAAAGAATCACATATAGGGTTTCATGTTGAATGGAAAGGAATTCCTCATCTAGAACCATTCATTCCAGTGTAGAAACTGAAGAGGGGGAAAAAAAGAAAAGGGAAAGAGGATCAGGGAACAATAATATGAATTCAGAAAACAATAGAAGTGACACCGTTTTGGATTCCATTTCTTGTGGGAAGTTGGTTCCAATCCTCCATATTGGAAGTTGGTTTTCATTGCAATATCTGCTTTGAATTTGTAAATTCAAAGCTAAAACTGAAGCAAATATAATTTTGTAAAGGTACTCCAGGCATTATTTATTTCTCAAGTCATTCCTTCGAATGCATCTGCTTCAATGGAGCAAGGGTAAAGAGTAATCCCCAATATGTTGGCTCTAGCTGCCAGTCAAACACAGCCTTGGAATATTGGCCTTTGTCTTGATTGCAAGAATTATACAACTACTTGGACCCATAGTTTTGGTAATGGACAATTCAGATCATGATCATGACAATTCAGAACTGGCAGATTTACACACACAAACTAGGTATTACTTTTCCTCTCCTCCTTCCATCAAATACTAAATAGCCCTCGTATTGTCCTTATGCAAATACTTTAACTGCTTACCCTTCAGACTTCTCTCACAGCAATGAAAGCAAGGAGGTATCACATGGCCTGAGATTCTTTGCAAATGCACAGGGGGAGATGTGACCCTAATTTTCTCATGTAGCAGTAAGGCACTATATATATATATATATATATATATTTATTTATTTATTTATTTATTATTACCACATTTTGTTCTGTCTGAATAATTGCTGCTCCAGGTCAGGCCACCACTTTAAATCTATTTACAAGTTCTTCAATGAATATGGATAATAACAACAACAATAACAATAATAATAATAATAATAATAATAGTAGTAGTAGTAGTAGTAGTAGTAGTAGTAGTAGTAGTAGTAGTAGTATATTTAGTAGTAGTAGTAGTATATTTAGGAAATTGGATTCTTAAATACTGTGGCCGAATAGTAGATAGAGAAGGTAAAAAGAGGATAAATAATCATTGACCTTTAGTGTTTAATCTCTCTTTTATATTATTCATAATCAGTTTTTTCAGTCCTCTTTTTCCTCAGAAATGAAGTTATATTAGCTTTATGGATGTAAACAGCTATGACTTAAAACTTGAACTTGCATTTTCCTAGATTTTTGATTTCCAGTGATGTTAACGCCAGCAGTTTGGTTCTGAGCACTGGCATATAGTTACCATTGGTACTGTGGGTACTACTTTTCTGCCTTCCTGGTTTTGTTAAGATTTGTCACAAAGCACAGTTATCCCTTCTACACCTCTTGGTGTAGTATTTTATTTAGTTTTAAGGCAGTTTGTTATATGTGTAATGTTTCCTGTAAGTCTCAAAGTAACTATAAAATTAAGATGAACCAGCCAGCTAATGCACAGTCTAGTGCTGTGTCTGTTCCTGTACCATGCATACCTTCCCTCCTTTTTCCCTGCTTCCCCATTAGTCTAGCTGGAAAAAAACAGAGGAGAGCTGAGTGACTTGTTTAGGTTCCAGGTTTGAAACAGTTTGTCCCTGTGTAAAAGTTCAGGCAGGCTTATTTTGTCTCTGCTGATCCACACTACAGCCACATCTGCATAGGAAAGGAAGTCTTGAGCTGTCTTTGTGACTGCTGCACCAGAGTCTAGTAAGGCTTATAAAACTCACGTAAAATCTACTTAAGCACATGAGTAATGCACTTAAGCACAGGTGGGTTAGTCTGAACACTGCTCCGCACTGCCACACCAAGTCAAGTTCCACAGAAATTCTGGGGTTTGAGCAGTCTGAACCATTCATTTACAAACCAAGCCATTTGTCCCATTTTCTTTCTTTTTCTTTTTTTTTTTTTTTGGGTTGATGTATCTATTAGTTATATTTAAGGTCTGTCTCTCTCACATGGTGCTATGAAGTGCGGCATTAATACAATTTTGATATTTTAATGAAAAGATCAATATATGCATGCAAGGTCTTAGGGAAGTAGTACTACATGACTAGCTTTATTGGAACATCAGGAAAAGTGTTTTGCAGTTGATGAGCTGTAATATTTGCGTTTCATGTACAATTATTGCTTTCGGTAGTGCCTACTTCAGTGCCAATTTCAGCTGTAATTACAGTGCTTCTTGCAACAAAACCAAAGTTTACATTTTCTGGTATCTTCTAAGAAAATTAAAATCAGTACTGCTACTTGATCTGATAAGGAGGGGGCCACTGTCACTCTGAAATGGTGCCTTTTCTATCAAGTTATGTATAAAAGAGTTATTTTCTATCTCATTTAGTAGTGTGATAGTCATTATTTATTTTTGTTAGAATGAAGAACTATGATGCCTTTGGCAAGATTCTAGAAGACCTGTCAAATATGTATCAAATTCCAGGAAACAGGTTGTAGTTATTTTTTACTCAAAAAATTTTGAAATCCATAGTCTAACTTTTGTTTACTTACAAAAATAATAAATTGTCTTTTTTCTCTCCCAGTGAAATGAAAGCTAAGGGATATCTTGCTTTGCAGGCCCTTGAAAAAGACCTTTATTCAATGTCTCTTCTTGACAGGTAACTTACAGTCTATGCCTTTGTCCCTTTACCTCTACCCACACCCCTTCATTTCACTAAAAACAAAGTTAACTGACCAAATTATAGAGCAGGATGTGGAAGGCTAATGAGTTTTCTCCCACTGGGAAACTTGAAGCCTTTGTCAACCCCAGACAAGCAAACCAGTCGATCTACTGAACTCCTGTGCTTTATCTAAGGGACTTCCTGGGAAACTGGTTGGTTACAAAGCTTGGGGGTGTGTGCACATGACCACCCACTGGGAGTAAACAGCGTGTCTGAAAGTCAGCAGTTATGTTTACATCTCTCTGTGGCAGAAGTAAAATAGACCTCTTGGGATTCTGCTGTTTGGGTATCTCATTTTGTCCTCAGGTTTTAGATCAGGAGGAGTGAGTGGCAGCTTTTCTCCTCCCTTTTCCCATTTGTCCTTTCATAGAGTAGAATTACAGACAGATGGGGAACAGTTTCCTAAACCTTCTGGTAATTGTATATGGATTTTCATTATTTTCAATAAATAAGAATTGACGGCAGTGCTTTCCTTCTGGATTTTTGAAGTATCTTCTCTGATACCTTGCCTATTAAGTTACATACACACATACCTTGGCAGGTATGGCCTCCTGTAACTTGAAACACCCTCTTGGATTATTTTTATGGTTTTCCCTTATGAAGCATAATAACACTATGAACTAAAGTGCTGTATCCTTGCTGTTCAATGATATCTCAGTTAATATTATTTATAAGTTAAACAGATTATTTGTCCTGTCTATGCTGTAAGTCAATGCACTGCAGAGTTAGTGCACAGCTATGTAAATGTATGGCTGTATGTATTCAGCTATATAAACACTCTTGAAATCAGAGAGTGGTTCTGTCCAAGTTAGTTTATCCAGGCTATTTGTTTGTTCTTTGTTCAACCAGTTGCCACTCTAATATTTTTGACCCCCTTAATTTCTGGTAAATAGCACACCATAGTGCAACGTGAAAGAGCTCAGATACAGGGAAAGTGGAAGCCCAAGTCCCAGAAGTAATGCATGTGTGGAGTTGTGGTCTTTTGGAAGCTGGACATACAATCTACTTCCAGGAAAACATTGTCTTCTTTCAATTAAGAATACAAATTAGAAATTACATTAGCCTAGCTAACAGTGCAATGCAGGAAACACTAATTAAGATGTGTTTTGAAACAGAACACAGGATCTAAACAGAGTTACTGAAGTACTTAATGGAAAAGTAGGACACCTGCTGCCAAGAACTGGAGGTGATTTTTTTCCTTTTTTTTTCTCCCTTCCCCCCCTGCCTTTTTCTCCCCCTTTTTTTTTCTTTTCCCATTTCTGAATTCAAAGAATTGTAATCAAAACACACTACTGAGTTGATCTTTCTGTATAGGAAAGATCCTCTACTATAAATAAAACCTGCTGTAGTGACTTACTGTGCCTGTATTCTCAGATAACATACATATATACAGAACATATATTAAACAGATATTGTAAGTACTCTTACAAGGAATCCCCTCTGCCCATCTACAGTGTTGGTTTTTTCACCTTTATGTCAAGGTACCCAACACATTTCCTCTACTAACTTGCATAGTAACCATTATTTTTTTATTCCTCAGGAACCCCAATGAACATTGAATTTTACATTTCTCCCTATCAAGTTTTGGAAGCAGAACTAAATCACGGTAAAGCTATTTCAGCTATTCTGCTCTTTCAGCAGAAATAGCTAACAAGAGATTTTCAATACTACCTGTTTCATTTAGTAAAGTTAACTAACGAAAGCTCAGAACTAAAGGTTAAAATTCTAGTTTAGTAGAACAGTTTATGTGATGCATTTTAGCACAGTTTTAATGTCCCTCAGAAAACTACATTCCATGTTTTGGTTGTTGATTCAGCTATTGCTGCTATCATCTTTGGGCAACTTTGGCTTTTTGGCTGTGGTCAGTGTAGGCTTCTCTTCACTGCCCACACCACTGTGGCTCAGTTGGATCTGACTTTCCAAGTCCTTACTATTGTATATTTTGTATGCATAGGATTAATATACACTAAATTAAGGAAAATAATGCCATTCTCTTTCTCCCTCAGGTTCCCAGGTATGTGGAACTAAAACAGTTGTAACTGTTGAAGGCACAGATTCACTCCACAAACTGCCTCTTTCTCCATTAATTATAGATCCTCATGCTGGAGAGGACAGGTGAGACTCTGGACACTTGTCAATACAGAAATGGATTTACAAGTCCCTGGCACTGACTTCCACATAAGTTACATTTAGTCTCTGCTGAAACAGAAAGTTCTGTTTCATTTATGGCTTTATGCTCCATAGCTACACTGTCTATAATCTGTGGCTTTTAGTTTTCCCAAATGGATTTTGAAGGTATTATGTTCATATTTAACTGTGTCAGTTGCATTGAACTATGAATTTATTCATAGATTTGAAGCCAGAAAGAGACACTGGAGCAATATTAATGAACTTCCTAGTATTCAACAAGATATAGATTCACAGTAAAGAAAGCATTTACTGAGAGATATTACACCTAAAATACACAAAATAGTTTGTCATCCCACTATGGGACTGACACCTCATCTCTCCCTACCTCAGTGTTGTCTGGAGGGGAAGTCTGAAGTAACTTTCTGAACTAAAATACTTTAAAATTATTTGTAAAAAACACCACCCAGTTTCTGTGTCTCACTTTTCCTTTCTGTCGGTTTTCACATTAACCATGTTTTAAACTATTAACGTTGCATTTATAAAGCAAAACACTTCTCAAGTTCCATACAAGAAAATGTATGGAACACAATATACTGCTAATAGTGGCCTTGCATTAGGAATCCTTGTTATGGCAATTTCTGTAAAAAACTTTCGTTCTGACAATTTTTTTTCCTAGCAACCCTGCTTTTTTGCAACTGACTGATGAACTAAGCATGGATTTGCCAGCTCATTTTGTTCTGAAGTTTCATCAGCCTATTCCAGTGTCTTCATCCAGTATTGAAGAGATACAGAAGCTCACAGGCTTGTTATAATTGTTTTTTAAGACTAAGTACTTCTGTGACTATGCAATGCTTATTTGCTTTTTCCTTGCCCATGTTAAAGTTGCAAGAAGTTGCTTCTTGGGCAGAACATATTCTGTTCTACCAGTCCAAGTGTAACAACCAATGCAAAACACAAAAATTCTAAAGCTACGACAAGTACAGGCAAAGTTAAACACTCTACCTCAAATTCCCAATAGCAAAAATGGGGAATAAGAAAAAAAATCAATATTTTTGTCTTTTCAAAACATTGGGTTTGTTTTTAATAATAGCTTTCATAACCTACTGTCTTAACCTAATTGCTAATAAAAATAATGACCTGGTTTCAGGAATTCAGATTTCTGGCTTGAAACTAGCTCCACTGTATGAGCTAATTGTTCAGTCTACTCTTAAAGAAAAATGCAGTGAAGACTTGTCTACAAATAAATCTTGTTTCTTTGTGGTAAGTATAGTGTGCATCTGATACACACTGTGTTGTTGTGCAGGAGATAGATATACTGAATTACCATTTCCCCATAAGCAAGTAATGTAGGTTTCCCAGAATCCCAACAAAAGGGCTCTTTAGGAAATAGTTCAATTTACAAAGCAGTATTAGAGCCTTTCATGTAGGTGAGCATCTCATGCTCATTAATGAAACACTGTGTGCTTGGCTGCTAAAGTCATGCTAATTTGTCTGTAACCCAAATATTTACTCTGCTAAAAATTGCTCAGAAGTTTATCATTGATGCCTTAAAAAGAAGGAAACTTATTTACTGGTGTGAAGAGCAAGTCCCAAGAAGGTACTTACCTAGATTTTTGAAGATCTTTATCATGCTGCATGTCACACTGTTTTAACAAAAGGGGCTTCTTAATTAGATAACAGTGGGATAATTGATTCCTTTTAAAGGGACTGGCAGGAAGAAAAATATAAAGTGTTACAACAGTGATGCCAACTGCTATCTAGAGACAAGGTTGTTTAACTGAAGAAGGCTTTCTTTTTAATAACTGCATTATTGAAATACAGTTGCATTAGATGTTAAGTTTTAGAACAGAAAGTTGTGGCTAAGATGCTTTCTGCCAGATTCATGTATAGGGCAACTACAAGACAAGCTTCAAAGATCTAATTTTTTTGCTAGGAAACATTAATTTTGCAATTAATGGCAGCAAAACAAGAGGGTACTTTTTTTCTGTTCTACTAGCAGTGTTCACAGAGCTCATTGCCTGCTTAGTTCTTGGACCTTGAGGCGGTGGTACAGAAGGTAGTAGTAAATTTACACCAGGCTAAAATAATGTTTGGCAAAGCTCTTATCTTCTGGAAGATGGAAATAATCTTTCAGTTCTATTGGATGCACATGAAAGGCTCTGTAACTTTTCAACAATTCCCTAAAATATTTGTACTTGGTGGGAGGTTTTACTTCTGAGTTTAAAGATTTTATTTCTAGAATTACTAAATTGTATTCTAACCTTGAAATGAGTGTAGGGGAAATATGTTTGATCCATGAACACACAAGGAAAAGCTCTTCAGCCTTTGTTAATGTAGGCCCTCCTCATTAACTGTCCTGCCCTGTTCTTGAGGGGACATTCCAGTTGGCATCCTAAAGTAGATAACACCATACTCCATGTCTAATTTTGTCATAGAATCACTGTAAACAAGGACAGGTGGTAAATTTTTCTTACTATTTCCTCCTCATCTTCAAATGAATCATGAGATATTCCAGCCAAACATATCTTTCCAAACAAAAAGTAGTAGTGATGGAGGTTGGAATAACATCTGATGTCCAGAAGAGATTTCCAGCAAAACTGCTATCCTGTTTGTGCAACTGTCAAGCAGCATTACTATGATATTATTACTTTGGCCACTAACATTTTTATAGCCTATAGGGCTCTGAAAAATATTTGGAAGAACTGATGACACTTGAACTCCTGACCACTTGGCTCTGGGTATATTTGCCTAATTTGGATGTATTTGGGAGGGAGAGTGGATCTCATTTAGCTTCTGCTAAGGATTCTACTACAAATGCATAGGTACCATGGACGTGCTAGAAATGTATCTTCCAAAAATATTTTTGTTGTAGATTGTACAATTGCCTGATAACATCAAGCTTTACTTTCCTGTTTCCAGTCCTTGAAACATCACCATTATTTGTTGCTTAGTCTCTTCCAGATCACCCAAAGCACTGTTACTTCATAAACAAGGGCTCAGCAAAATCAGGTTTAGCAGGAGCCTTGGTCAATAAAATCCCATTTAGCCATCCAAAGTGTGTGCCTGGCATAATAGAGATTCTTCGACATCAAGTGGCATATAACACTCTTATCAGTAGCTGTGTCTCTGAGAAGCCCATAAATGAAGGTAAATTGTGTGGCTGGAAGTGATGGCACAGCATTAGAGAGAAACTAGTTTCTAAATTGGGTGTTGACAGATTTTACTAGTCCCTTGCCAAAACTGTCATTACTTGTGGAGTACTGTAAAAGATAAAATATTCTTAACACTGTATTGATTTTTTAAAAAAAATTCTATGCTCATTCTATGTACATAAACTAAGTCATTGAAGTAATGAAAAATTAGACTACTGCATCAGTATTTTTAAAATTCTGGCATATCATTCAGCCAAAAAGAACCCAGCTTCAATGGTGGATATCACTAAACAGTATTTTTATTTCTAGATGATTCAGAACTGCTTTACTTTGAAGTGGTACCACACAAGAACACCAGCTTTTCCGTCTTTTTCCTTCATCCTGTGAAAGAGAATTTAGCCTGTGGTACGTGTGGAATAATTGCTATGTCCTCTCTACTGAGCTGACAGGGGACTTGTTTCTGTCTAGGCTCCTGCACTATGTTTTTCGGTTACAAACAGTCTAAGGGCCACTCAACAGTGTGCAGCCCAGGAGAAAATATGAAGTGTATGCACTTGTGTATAAACTGCTTACTAGAAGGTGTTCTGTACTCAGAATAATATAGAAAGTAAATGCAAATATTAAAGTCCTGTTTTGTCTTGGCCTGCATTTAATTAATAAATTGTAACTTCCACTATTTCTGATTTAAGTATATTAAGGAAAAACAAGTCATGCAAATATATTGCTGCAAACCTCTTTCCACTGACTTCAGTCTTACATCTCTTCAAGCATCAGAATGAAAGGATGGTTTTCAATGTTTCTAAGTATTTCAAAATAAAGATTTTTCTGTTCTTTTCCTTCTTAGTGGTAATTGATGTTATAACCTCTAGAGAAGTCCAATGTCACCTTCATTTAAATCCTCAAGATCCAACTCTAAATTCTACTGATGACTTCATAGCAAGAGCTGTGAAACGGTTAGTATTTTTATTTCGTAACAGATGTCCATTAAATGGAAATATCATGTGCACTCATAATGCCATGAACTCAGCAACTGGAAAAACGTCACTCTAATAAAGTGCTGTAATACAGTAATGGGAATAAGTTACTTCAGTGTTTTAAGTATCTCTTTCAAAAATTTTAAACATTAACAGTGATGAAGTGTTTCTAGTAGAAAGCATGTGGAAGCAAAGAAAGACTATTGAGTGAAGAGTTTTACCTTTTAAAAAGATGCTTTTCTGAAGACTCTAGCTGATGACAGGCTCATGTCTAGTGTAACTTCAAATAGGATGGAAAGGTCTTTTTACATACCTATCTAATAGCAACCAGTGCTTCTCTTCAGAAAGTGAGTTGTATATGGCATGTCTACAACACTGACTGGCTTGTTTTCTGAACAAATTCCAAGACAGCGAGTTGTTGTGACACATGAACATAGCTAGACAAACTGATTCAGAACATAGTCTAAGAGCACTAAGTGATTTGGCATAAGCTAGTACACAACTATCATCTGTTTGATGACAACAAAACCAATGCAGGTTGGATTTTGAACCTGATTTTAAACAAGGTAATATTTTTGGATCCAGGATATGAGTGGGAAAAAAATCTCCTCCAGTATAAACAGTGTTTTAGAAAAGATACCTTCTGTACCTGTGTTACACAAAACATGAAGGTTACAATTATAAAACTCAAGAAAAATGAATATATTTCAATATTCTTAGTTTTGGTTTTCACTAGAAGCACCCTTATGACTTTTGTTTTTGTTGACCAGATTGACCAGACTGAAAGACCTCCTCCTCTTTCAGTCAAAGTTTCTGTGCACACCTAACTTCAAAGACTCAGCACTAAATTTCAGTGTGTTAACATATATTTCTGGTACAGCACATGTAGTTTATATAATGGCTACAAAGTAACACCAGGTTGTATGAGACAAAAACAGAAAGGAGGCAGATAAAAACAGAAAGGAGGTAATGCTGGTTTTCATTCAGGTGTCAGCTACAGTTTAAAGAAAGTATGATGTCTGTAATAGTGACTAATGTGTTATTTCCTTCTTCAGTTGCATGTCAGTCCCAGTTGTCATGAGAGCTGTTTTCAGGAATGCTGCCAAGGTGAAAGCTGACAGTGAAACACAAGACATGGACACAGAACAACAACCTGGACCACAGTCGGAGCAAACTACAGATTCTAACAGTCTCAAAGAAAGCCTTTCTGGTGCTGGTCAGCAAGACTGGGTAGTGACAGATAAGCCAAATAATACAGAAAGTACAGAAGAAAATCTCTCTACAGCCAAACTGGAAACTCTGGGTGATAACATGGAACCCCCTCTTAGTTACTGATTTCTTTCTCTTCATGCTAATCTGGTCCACATCCTTTATTCCTTCTTTTATATTTTTCTCCAATTTTCCAAGCCTTAATCTCCTCCATATCTCCTGGTTACTCTGATGTCCTTGAATGGCCATAAATTTAGGATCCCAGATGTCCAATCTTCAAATTCCTTTGGCTTTGTTCACTGAAGATTGTCAGTCTTAGTTTTAACAAACTCAAGGTTTCAGTGATTTAATGATCAAAGTAGGTCTGCAAAGAAAATTAAGTGGTATTGCCTAGAAGTGGGCACTGCTTACAATTAGTTAAAACAACTCATTAGAAATTAGTTAGGAAAATTATATATATATATATTCCAACACTGTCTGCACCATATTCTACCAGAATATGGAAGAAATCTGTGTTTAACATACATGATACAGTGTATAACACAAGACAAGCATTTGAAGAAAAGTAATGTCAACTCTGACAGTGTAACAGAGTCTTTAGTAAAAATGTTGTACAAAACTCAGGCTCTGAAAAACAAGGAATTTTTGCCTTAGATTTTTTCTTGCCTTTAGAAATGGCTTTGTGATTTTTTTTAAATTATAGTTTACTGTTCAAAATCTTACTTTGCCTAGGTCTGGAATATTCCTTTGTCTCCAATAAGAATGAGTTACAGGAAACTTCCAACAAGTAAGCTGGGAACTTACTATAAATCAGTTTAATTAGTGTAAAACAGAGGCATTCACAAAGAAAAAACTTCCCAAAGCAATTTACAGCTACAGTGAAGGGAAGCAATGGGAAAGCAAGTCAAATACAGAATAGTTACAGAATAATCAGAAACAGGCATGTGTGGCCGATGTGTTTCTAAGAGGTAGTGAATAAGCTTGGCTTCCTTGAAGAGTTTGAGAAAAACATTATTGGAATGTGGGAAAGAGATCAGGCTAGATGGACTGACAAAATAAATACAAAAATAACGAAAGGATGTTCATTGGACTGGAAGCATATTAAGTGTGGTCTGACATGATAAGAGTAGATGTCTAAAAGTAAAACAAGGAATTGTCAGCAATTCTGCATTTGAGGAAAATGGTGAGTTTTCAGCAAAAGTGACAAATATAACTATATAAGAAGGGGAAACTGTATAAGGAGGGGAATATAGTTTTTAACTGTGAAAGTGCATTGCATCATGGGTAGAAAAGATAACACGTAGAATTTGACAAAAAGTGACTAGAGAGTCACAGCACTAGGAATCAAAGCGTATCATGTTCTATTTTGCACACAGCATATCATCAACAGCAGCCTATTCTGCAAAAACACTGACCATTTCCATAGCATTTACTCTTTTGATATTGCAGGGGACCAATTTAAAAGGAGCTATTTAACGGACCCATTTCATTTCCAAGCTGCTGCCAAGAAAAAAATGAGGGTGAAATGGGACCTCCCGACACAAAACAGAAACATGTTTAGAAACTCTTTGTAAAGCTTTAAAGTCCCTGCCCCTTTCTGTGAATGTTACCTTTAAGGTTGAAAGTGAAGGGTTTTGCCCAGAGCCAAAATCATGGCAAGGATTTACAAAAATTACTTCTACTATAAAACATCAAAATTAGATTTTCCTAAAGCAAAAGTGATGCATCAGCCTCTACATGGCCCACAAACTAAGAATCAAAATCAGCTGTGATAGTTTGAAGTACCATGAGACAGGAAAACTAATTTTCCAGTTGCTGGACATGATGGAGTACATCCAGTGATAAGCCCAGTTGCTCTACTAACCAAACAGTCTGCATTTTAACCCAAGCAAGGGTTGACTTTTCAGGATCTGTGCAGAGATTTGCCTTGCTGCACTCAGACTGCAAGGAACCAACCACACCATTATTCCTACAAATGTTTTCACCAGAGCTGCCACAGTCGTCGTGTTTTCCGTCTTCAACTTCCCTGTACTCTGTCCCAGCTGTGTGATTAAGGTCCATGTCCTGAACTGAGGCTAAAATGTGTCCAAGACGTGGCTGTTCTTCAGTAGAATTCAGATACTTAAGCACATCATCTTCATGCTTTCCAACCACATCAAGAAGATTATTTATTGTACTTAGAGCAGAATTATGTCCATTAAAATGACACCAGGATAAGAGAGCACTGAAAAGTGAACAACAAAAGTGATTATATTCATCTACATAGATCTCCACTTGGTGGAGGTAGATAGACAGCAATGTGACAAGGTATCTATGTATCATAAATACATTTATGTATAATTCATGATTTATGGAAAATTCAGGCAGTAGAACTAAATATTAAGCTTAAATATGTAGATTCAGACAATTTTGGAAGAGAACTGAAAGAGACTTTTTAGAAATTATACTTCTACACCCAGGCAGGCATTCCTTATTCTCAAGATGGGGGAATTCTCAGGTTGCTCACTTTGGACAGTTTCAAAATATTTGTTTTGTTGTTGTTGGTTGGTGGTGGTGGTTTTTTGTTTTGTTTGGGTTTTTTGTTTTGTTTTTTTTTTTTTTAGTTGGTTGGTTTGGTTTTTAATTAAAACAAACAACAACTCATATGTGTGTTCCCCTGTTACACACCCTCCACATACACTTGACCGTAAGGAGTTTGTAACCTACTTCAGGGTTCCTTTGAACTGGCCACATGTAATCATCAGCTTGGCACCGTGTCTGTAACCTTGATTAAAGCCTGTCTGGAGTGCAAGTTCTTTCCCGGCCTCAATTCCATCCCTATAGCCTTCCTGTAACAAAAGCAGTGAAACAGGCTGCTCAGTGTCACAACATGACAAAGTGGACCTCTGACAAATACATAACAGTAAAAAATTTTAAGTATCACATCTCTTAGTTACAGCTTCTATATCTGAACATCCTTCACAGCTACATCACTGCCAAACCAAAACATGCTTGTTGCAGTATACTATGATTTACTGATCTGTAAGATGTAGTTTTTCACTTTTCCCAAAAGGATTCCCAGAAACTGAGAAAATAGGGAAACTTCTTTTAGAAAGATTAAAAAAAAATAGCATGTTTGCTTTTAATGATTACCAACTCCTTTGTGAGAAATGGACTTAGAAGTACCACACAGACTTCTTTTTTCTATCTAAAAAGTTATGCCGGCTGCCAATCTTCCCCTTTATCTCTTCTATCTGTAATCCATCTACATGGAATTAATTTATTTTCACAAAATTAACTGCTGAGCATTGCTCCTTTATTTGCTGGACCTCACTCCATTCAAGAGTTATACCAGAAAAAGAGAGCGATTGACTGAGTCACACATAAATACACTTAACATTGGGACTGCTTTCTTTAAGTAAACAGCTAATTATTGTAATGCAAATTACTTTCTTTATATTATAACCACATTACAAGATTAATAGAATAAATCTTAACTTTTTTTCATATGAAAATGACAAGCTACAAAAATGAAAACTCCTGTTTGCTCACGGTGGCCTTGCTAGAAAAGTAGTCTGGAACGCAAAAATTTATTTTGCCCAACACACAACTCTAACTTCAATAACACTTCATGATTTTGCAGTATCTACTCAAAAATACTAGAGGGATTTCGGTAAGAACACTAAATAGTTCCTTAAGAAAACCAGTCTTTTCATGGAACTGAGATGAAGGAAACTACACTGGGACTGCTGTAATACCATTGCTCACCAACAGCTGTGAGCAGAGGAGCCCTACTGGCCCCACTCTGAATGACACAGTATCTGTTGAACTCATCTGCTTATGAACTTGTTTTGTTCCCTGCAGAACCGCAGAGAGGCAAAGGCTTTCATAAAATGAAAATTCATAAAAATTAAAAAAAAAAAAAAAAGGAAAGCAGCTTTCATAAAATGGATATTTCACTTGGAGAATAAATCAACCAAAGACCTCAGATCCAACCACAGACCACAATGGCCAATTGTGGTTGCACATGGAGTCACACATTTTACATTGTGACTGATGAGTAGCTCTACTCAAAACCCCAACCATCTCACATGTCTTTATTAGCACTGCTGAGCTCTGTTGCCCTACATTTACTATACCTACAAGTAAAAGGGCTATACCTACAAGTAAAAAGCAAGTAGCTTACATCACAATTCAGCACTGCCTTTTATAAATGCATGTGGTTGTGCAGAAGGAGTCAATGTCTTCTGGTAAAACAGTACTTTGCTCTGGCGACTACTAAATAGTGTTTACATCAATTTCTGCCATATTTCCCTGGTATTCAGAAGAAAGTAGGCCACAATAACTTTTAAGCAGCTACTTTTACTTTTCCCTTTAAATAATTCACATGTGCAGCAAGTTAAATGTCAGTAAATCTAAAATGGCTAAAAATGTATTAAACCATTTTTATAGAAATACCTTCAATCTCTTCTTCATAGTGCTGTTCCATTCCTTCTGTAGTAGATACATCTCATCTGCATCTTCATCAAATATATCCTCATTGGATTGGCTGACTGCTACTTGTACCCAGGACATAATAGCAGTGCCCTGTGACCCCTGTTTATGTGGTAAAAAACACTGAGAAACTCTCAGAAGTGCCTCTGGTGAAGTGTCAGGTTAGAAGTATTGGCAAAAAACTGAGCTCCGAAGAGAAGCCAGGAATGGCGCTGATTATTCAAGCTCTACATGGGAACTTGGCTCTGTGTGCCATTGGGGTGCATCTGTCAAGAAAAGGCAGATCATCATTCGTAAGGTAACTTCTGAGATCTATTAGGGCAACTTAGGACAGTTCCTTCCCATCTTATGGCACTGACACACACATGGACACCAATGCAGCATTTAAGAATACTACAGTACAAGGACAGCTGGCAGAAACAACTTTATGACTTGCTTCCAACAGTCAATATTGTATACCCAATTACTACACACAGGTTAATACTTGCAGAGTTAATAACTGGGAAGTACTTTCACCTTTGACTGACAGGTTTCTGATTATGCCAAATATTTAACTATCTTATAAAACAAAAACAGTGCTTTCGATTTTGAATAAAGAATTAGCAAGTGCTGCTGCAGTGGAAAGGAGAAATTTTCGGGTTATTTAATCTTTTCCTATGACGAAAACTTTGAGAAGCATCTCACAGCTAATTCATTTGCCTCGCTGTAAATTGTTAGAATACACCGACGGCTCCCAGAGAACCCAGGACTCTGGGACAGAACCGGCTGGGGTTCTGCAGCCTGAGGAGGGTAAGCGGGGCATCTCCCAGGGCCGCGCACCTGCCCAGCTCCCCAGAAGCGGCCATGCCGTGGGGAGCCTTCCTTCTCCCCGGCCGGCCACAGACGCTGCCTCCTCCCGCCTCGCCTTTCCGCGCTGCTCGCACGACCGCCGTCGCCAGCCCGGCCCCGCACACTGACCCTCACCGCAGCCGCCATCGCCAGCCCGGCCCCGCACACTGACCCTCACCGCAGCCGCCATCGCCAGCCCGGCCCCGCACACTGACCCTCACCGCAGCCGCCGGCGCTGCGCCCCGCGCTCCGCCATCTTCACTGAGGGAAAGCGGACGCCGCTGCCGGCGGAAGTAATTGGGCAGCGACAGCCATGACGTCAGAGCCCGTCGGAGACACTGGAGGCGCCATCTTGAGTGAGGGCGCAGCCCCCCGCAGTGGTCCTGCCCTGGGGCCGCCTGGCGCCAACGGGGAGGGAGCTGCTGCCGCGGTCGGGATGCCCTCATCCCATCCTCACCTCCCGCCTTCTCTGGAGGGAGCGGCATGTGGCTGCCTCGGCCTCCCACAGTGACTGCAGGACGACCCTTGGGTCAATGCGTTCCTCGGGTAGGGAGGTTTCATCGTCTTTTCGGTTATAAAAGGTCAAGTTTAAAAAAAAAAAAAAAAATCTGCCTTAATGACTTCAGAATCGTCAAGCACTTTATGTGAAGCATGCCGTTAAGCTATCCTCTACGAGACCCAGGTATTACAATGAGAAATCCTTTTTAATACGAAAGATGCCAGCGGGAGTCAAGAGTTTCATTGCTGACTTTGACTAGAGAAAACAGGAATATCCTGTTGACATAAATGAAGCATAAGTACAGCAATGTTGGTGCATGCTGCATTTGGCTTATGAGCAGAAGTTTAAAGCTGATTAGTCTTCATGAACACACAATACATTAAGCGTGAATTCAAGCTGCCTGCTTCTCCGCATTGCCAGGGGCTGTTCAGTAAAGGCTGAGCGCCCTGCGGGTCCCTGGCAGCCCGACCACCCGAGAGCTGATTCCCCGTGGGAGCACACTCCCCCCAGCCACTGTCCCGTCTCCTGTCCCAGGGGTGGCTGGTGACATTCCTTACAGCAGGGCTTGGGACACTGCACGGACAGCAGCAGGGCCTGCCTGTGCTCTGCAGGTACCCGGAGACGAACGAGCATGTGCTGCAAACTGTGCAGCCGCTGCGCTCCCTCTCCCTCCTCCTTTCTGCTCTGCAGACAGCCTGTCCTGCTTCTGGCCCATCTTGGATGCCTTGGATGGTTGAATGCTGAGGTATGAGTAGCTAAGTAACCAAATCTGTCTAGAAATTCGTGTGTCAGGTGTCAAAATGACACTGGTGCCTCTGGATGGCCACAACTGCATATCTGTTCCTCAGCAGTTACTACACATGTCAATGACTGCCGATTTCCTGGCCCACTTATGTAACTTTCAACTCCTGTCTGGAAGACGATAGCTTTGTCATTTGAAAAAAACTGTACTGTAACAGTACTGACTATTGCCTGCATGCACAAATGCACAGTCACGAAAATCCCTTCTGGCAACAAAAACTTTAACTGGTCATAATGACACTTAGCAAAAATTCACCAGGTGGAAACAACTCTTCATCTGGCAACAGCACTATTAATCTTGGGTTAACCCTTTGCTTATCATCTGCTCTGTCTCGTCAGCCTCTTGCTCTTCTAGACAAGATACACAGGTCATGGCTCAGGGAAGCTGTGAGTTCCCCAGATTCACACTATCAGTTTAAATGTCTTAAATTTAGCAAAGTTGATCATCACACAGATGTTTAAGAATGAGTCTTTATAATTGTGAGAAAAAAATTAAGAAATCTTTTATTTCCACCCCTTTCTGTTATTAGTTGTGGGTGGATAATTAAGTGAATCATTGTATACATAGAGCAACATTGTTGGGATATGAAGTGCAGTTGCAATTTGAAGACAGTTTGATTCTGTGTTGATGACCTGGACAGGAGTTCAGGGATTGAGGGTGAGGTGCACTGCTTCGGGGTGTGGATGTTTTCCACACTTATGTGTGTTCTAAACAGGACAGTGTCTGTGTATTATGGTGACACTGTCAAGATACATACCAGAAGATCAAAACTGGAGAGCAGTATTTCACTGGCTAAAAGCCAGTTCTGATATTTTTGCACAATAAAGTTGCCTGAAATTGTGAAAAGCGAAGTAGTTGACTTGTGACCCATTTTAAAGTTTGGCAGTGCCATATCTAAGTTTAAAACTGGGCTAATGTTGGGTTTAGGGCATCTGATGTACCAAAGGTACTTCTGGAACATGACCATGCATATCTCAGCAGTTACTTCTTGCTTTCCTGGTGTACTGGGGAGAGCTTCTAGAGGGGTCAGTACGCAGTCACAGCTTAATACTAACAAGAGATTTCAGAAGACCATTACACAGGAATTCTGCCAGCTTCATCTTAGCAGTAGGGTTTGCCATTAAGCAATCAGTCATGAGTGATCTCCAAAAGTGAAATATTGTCATAGGATGTTCCTTTGCACCATTTTTACTGCATATGATGCTTCAGATAAAATATTGCTCCTATTCAGTTCATTGTTATACAACTTTGTGTCTCAATAGAACTGGATGGGAGCATCCAACAGATTTTGTCATAATGCAGACACCTCAAGAATCCAAGCTTTTTTGAAGGGTGATTGATTACCTTGGCCAGGAATTGTATATGGGCCAATCTGTGGGGCAGGTTCCTTTCGTTCTCACTACAGCAGTTTCTGTTGCTGTGTGCTATTGTCTCTGGCAGAATTGAGTAAAGCCTTGTGAAAGACCCAGGGCAGAGGACTATTTACACCATAAATTGTGCTCCAGGCATGCAGTCTTTATGGACTGACAGGGCCATGTTTCATTGACTCCAACTTTGGGAGTAATATAATTGTTTTAGGAAATCACAGCTCTTAAATGGTATTTGGATAACTTTCAGCCACATTTAAATAATTTAAACATTTAAATGCTTACTTGTCTTCTATAGTAAACAAGACAAAAACATAATGAAAAAGAGCAAACTATCAAAATGTGAGGAGAATAGAAACTGTCAATATTTAATAAAGATGGTGTATGCATTGTCACCAAACATTGCACAATGTTTCTGAAGCGCCTTAAACCATAAGTCTACCTCAAAATGTGTACATATTGTATGGTCAGGTCTGTAGTCTTTTCCAGGTATCTGGCTCTACTGCCTAGACAAATTTTAGGTTGTTTTCAATGAATGTCATGATAACAGGGCGTTGGTAGGACTGCCTACAACAGCATCAAGAAATCTCACATGTAGTCGACGTCTCTGTCCTGATCTTAGATCTGTGCATCTTTTCTTCATGCACAGGGTGGTAGGATTGTGCACTGCTGGCTGAATTTCAATAATAATACATTGACCTCCAGCACATAAATACTTTGCTACCACAGAGAAGGAAACAGTGAACAAACAGGTTAAGTGTAAGGTCATAGGCTTAATGAGGTTTTAAATATTTCAGCTCACAGCATAGGGGACTATAATGCCCTTAAATTGAATAAGAGGGTTAAAATAAACTTCTAGGATCAATGAATATTACCAGAGCATGGTAATAAACATACACTTCTATATTTTCCTGTAATAGCTCTCATACAGGGTATTAATAAAATTTACTAGTGAAACCCTGTCACCATCTTCTGATAAAGGTAACTAATACATATGAATTACTTCTCTGCTTTTGTGAAATCACTTCTTTCTTCTTTAATAGCGTACAATAATATTGCAGCAACAACTCTTTGGGTCAAAATGTCACATTTAATTTGAGAAGAAAATGGAAGAATATGGAAAAGTATGTATCAAAGGTAAATGTCTAAAATTCACTTCCAAGCACCACAGGAGTCTTAATAGCTTTTTTGCCATTACTTCTTACACAAGTGTTTTCAAGGGAGAGGATACTTTTTCTGTCTCTTCCTTTACCAGTATAACCAAAGCAACAGAATTTTGATAGTTAAATATTACAACAGGACAGTTTTCTTATTTGCAGAATCATTACCATTTCAGATCCTCACAAAGAAACCTGTCCTGTCTATTTCATGAACTGCCGACAGTTGGGCTTAAACTAAATTATAAGTGGAAGTGGCTAAGCAAAGGAGTATTTTCCCCCCCCCTACTTTCTCCAGGCTTTCTTTGAATGTCCTCAGGGCTTGCAGTCTGGAAAACTGTACTCTGCACTGCTGCATATTAAGCAGAGCAAAAGGTATACTTTATTAGCACCAAAACAATTCTCTTCTGTCATTTTCCTTAGTTTGCTCCTCAAATAAGAAAAATTTGTTGTCCCTAGAAGTAACTCATATTTTAATTCTGGAGTTTTGATAACAACTCTAACACTACAAAAAAGACAGTATGGCTGAGATAAAAATGAGCTATATACACATCCCAGCTCAAAATTAAGGTTGACAGAACAGAGTGTAGTATGGGACTACAATATTATTTTTAGAATATACAATGGAGAAAAAAGGAAGGAATATTCCTAATTGTTTTCAATCTGTTGAGAATGAGCTTTTTACAGTATGAAATTCCACATGAACAGAAAAAGGGTAGGTCAATAAAGGCAAGAAAATGAAAGAAGTTCTACATGTTAGTTGTGTAACTGAATCATGTGTCTAGAAATTGTAATATTAGAGATGAGTCTCACTGAGTTTATATCATAATAAATCAGGACTCCAAAGCTTTCTGACTCAGATATCCTTAAGTAAGATTTTTTTTATCCAGAGCTGCCTTTTTTGTTTGTGTAATACTTGATCATAATATGCAAATGTTTACTGTAAATGAAATTGGTCCAAGGAGAATGCTGTATTCTGCTTATGGATTTCCCTAGCGAATTGCATCTCTATTCAAATTACGCAGAATTTTTGTCACATTTCATTTCTTCCACAGGAGAGAAATGCCAGCTCTTTTCTTTCAGCAAAGAGACAAATTACTCTCTCTGTGTTATCTGTTGTATAAACTCAGTCAAATACTGACAAACTGCAGGAATAGCAGCTGTACAATGCTGATCCAATTGTCTGAAGTGAATAGAACTGCTAAAAGTCATAAAACTTGTGGAGTGCACTGATTTTCTTGGCACCTGAAACCGGGAGAAAACAGTTGTTTCTGTGGCAATGCACAGTTTCAAAAAGGTTGAGGTTATGACAAGGGTGGTTAAGTGGTGGCTTTTGAGATACATGTGGATTGTGAACAACTCCAGTACAAGCATGTATGCCATATCTCCAGCATAAAATTGGTTGACTGACTGTGCTTGAACAAAGGCTGCTGGGCAACTCATATCTCAGCTGAGGAAGAAAGTGAGCTGGCATAGCTGGGCCTCTTGGGACTCCCTTCTACAGGGAGCTAAAGTCTCTTGCAAAGCCATTGTCACCTGTAAATGGCTACCTAAGGTCCCAGAGGATGGCCCTGCTAGCTGAGACAGAACCAATTGTCCAGGACAGTATCATGCTGGGCATGGAAAAATGTTTATGCCCCTTTTGTCTGTTTTTACCTTAAAACTGCTGCCACACCCAAATGATGTGTTTGACATTACTGCACCATCCCTGGCAGGGCAGTTGGGCAGTGACTTTCCCTTCTCTTAGCTCCTTTTCTTCTCCCATTCTTAGTCCTATCCTCTTAACCAGTGCTGGA